GGGTACACTGTGTATGTGCGTATTCCACTGTAGCGCCCGGTACATTAATGGGAAACCCTGTACATGTTCAATACATTTGTAACACTGTACACATGAACGTTTCTTTTTCGGTTCACCAAAAAACAATCTCACTCCAAGCTGAACTCAAATGTTGGCAGCCCTGTGTTAGGACTCCTAGCCTACATTGTTCTATAAAGAGTGCATTCTGTAGATATGCTTTTTGATTTATTTTATCATGGCTATACTTAGTAAAGTTTTGGTTTTGAAAATTATCTGTCATTGTCCTTCATGTCCTTGCCATGCAATTGTAGACAGAATCCATTTGACACGCTTTAGAATTAACAACCATAAACTTCTTATTGAATATGGTCGATACACAAATACTCCTGTAAATGACAGGTTGTGCAAACATTGCCATGAGATTGAGGATGAAAATCAATTCCTCTTAGAATGTAAACGTCATTATAAAACTTTTGATAAAGTCAATTCAATCTTTAATCCAGAACTAATAGTAATAATAATAATTGTAAAGTATATAATGCTAAGAAGAAAGGGCTGTACCCGTAAAATGTACCCACCTTTCATTTATTGGTTCAACCAAAGAGGTGCGTTTCACATCCTTCATGGCAACCAGTGCTGTTCTCAATACAGCTTTTTCTAACACCACAGTGTCGAATTCCCTGTGTAAACATATGCAATCCAAGTCGTCTGTGAACAGTTTATTTTCAAGCTCATGACAACATATGTTCATAAGAGGATTGTCCATGGCTACACACCGATCGCAAGTACACCATTCATGTACAGGTTTCCCTACTCGCCCCCCGAAATCAATTGCACGAGTAAAGGGATCGTCTCCAGCAAGATCACCGTGCTGTTCATCCTCATCGTCACTGTCCCCGGATTCCTAACGGTTCTGGCCACTTGGCTCGAACCTGTATGGATGAATTCCCCCATCCAATCTCTCCACATTGCTCAAAACTTCTTCCTCCGCTGACGAGTCCGAACTCAAATACTCCGTCATGTTTTCGTCGAATGAGCTGTCTTGTTTACAAAGTGAACGCATAGATGACGTCACGACCTAGTTTATCGGATTATGTGACTACTGAAAATGGCCAAAATGGCAGCTGCCTGACGGAATATACAGGTTTTGATAAAAAAGAGCTATAAAATCATTATTTACCGGGGAATATCGCTGATTTCTTCAGGGTATGGTTTAAACATAATGTTTCACTAAATACTGAAGTTTTTATTAACTATCTAATGACTGGACCCTTCCTTTAAGGCTGATGGATTAGAAAGAACTTGCCAACCTACCAAATAGGATATTCTTGAACTGAACGCCAACAACCGATATTGTTTCCACCAGTCAGTTCTTTACTGGATGGCTATGTTTATAATAACAAACTTATTACACAACATGGGTAAAATAGAGAGAACAGCAATACTTCAGGTACAGAACACTGTTGATTAGGGCTGCTCGATTATGACAAAAATCATAATCTCGATTATTTGGGTCAATAATTGATATCACGATTATTAAAAACAATCATCCATTTACTTTGAAAACATCCATTTATTGAAAAAAAAAATTGAACAGTATGTTTTTAACAGTTGATTACCCTGAACTTTAAGTATAATTCAACTGAAAAAAAAAGAAAAAAAAGGCAATAATCTTTTTATTTCGATTATGTTGTTTTCATAATCGTTGCAAGCCAAAATCGTAATTACGATTCAAATATGATTAATTGAGCAGCCCTACTGTTGATTGTCTTCAAGGGGCCCTATTATGCTTTTTGGGGTTTTCCCTTTACTGTATTTAGTTATATTGTTATTTCTTTTGCATGTAAATGGTCCGCAAAGGCTTATCCTTGGATTGTGAAACAGCACAATTTTGTTGTATTGCCTCAGTGGAGAAATGTAATAAGCACCTGTTGCTTTTATTCTGACAATTTACGATGATTTAAATGTGATTTAAAAGCAACATAAAGTGTTTGCATTTATGTCTGAGATTTAAATCACTTTTATTCTGACAAGTATGGCAAATGACAGAAGCTTGTATTAGCTGCAATTTGCACTTGATGACTTAAAGATGTCTTGCTGTT